TGTGTTTGAAATATTTTCTTATGGTTTGTAATATTTCTGTAAATTTATTGTGATGATATTTTAAGTTCTTTTTTTTTTTCTCCTCATTTTCCGTAGTTGTATTTTAAAGATTCGGCTCTGTATTATTTGAAATCAGTCTGCCGACAGTCCATGTATATATTTGAACTAATACCATCCTTATAACAGGTACATATTCAAGTTAAGTTTTTACTCCATTATGCACAGTTTGAGATAAATAAATTTTTGACATATGGACACTGAAGTTCCGCTTGAGTCTTGGATTTATTTTTGTAACACAAGATGTTTTTTAAATAATTCATGCAGTAGAAGGTATCATCGTAGCCAACCGAATACGATAAATAATGCATTARTATATAACTATATATTATATATAAAACGCATGAATATTTTTATAGGGATGTATATAGAGAGAGAAAGTACGATAGCTTTAACGCAATGAATGCCCGTGCGTCCTTCGAGGGGGACGGGAATGCGGGGTGAGAAGCTGGTTCCCAGTTCCCTCCCTTCCCTCCCGAGGACGCGGGGTGCTGCGGGGTGCGGGGGGTTCTGTGGCCGCTGCCTTTGGCCACTTGTTGCCCCCGGAGGGGCCGAGCCGGGGCTGGCGGGGCCGGCGGCAGCGGCGGGCGGGCCGAGGGCACTGCCGCGGCCTGCCGGCTTCCAGAGGCGGATAATGCGCTTCTGTCTTATCCCAAGCGTGCCTCCTTCCGCTGGCACAGGCAGCAGGGGAGCCGGCTTCCCACGGCCGGGAACTCGAGCGCGGCCGGCCTGCTCGGGCTGAGCCATCCCCGCTCCCTTTGTCCGCCACTTCCCAAACTTTCCTCTCCTCTCTCCTGGGCCACGCAGGAGGAGGTGAGAGGTGGGGGCGGGGGTAGGGTTGGCCGGGCAGAGGTAAGAAACAACAACAAAAAAAGAACAAACAAACAAAAACAGTCGAATGCCAGAGACTTTCACGTTTTATCACAGCTCTTTCTTGAATCCTATTTCTTAAATTGCCAGCGCGGTGTAGCCCCGTTTCGGACACTCTCTGCAACCGGTCACAGCCCCAAAGAGAAGCGGTGGCGCCCGCCATATAGAAGGAGAGATCCACCGTCCGTGCCAGGTAGAGTTTTACTTTGTACAGTCGTAGCCGCAGTTGCCGAGGACGGGGCTCCGCGCTGCTGCTCGCTGGCGGCCGCGGGCAGGGCAGGGGGCGATGGGCAGCAGAGCTGGGCAGTCCGTGCGGCAGCCCTGCTTCCCCGCTGAAACCACAGCGCTTATTCGGTGCTGCGGTTTCCATCAGAAAACGCGTGAGAGGGAGATGTAAATAATRTTTTTTTAAAAAAGAAAAAAGGTACGAAATTTGGGATTTGGAGCACTTTGATTGCAAACTGGTCGTGTCTTCTGCTGATGGCATGTGGCAAGGAAAAGATGTGATGTTTGGTTTAGTCAAGGCACAAAGTGGGCACTCCGGCACGGGGCAAGCGTTGCTTTTCTCTCCAGTATTTCTTGTCAGCCACTGGATTTCGCTTTAGGTCGGGGAGGAAGAAGGCTGGGTAAAACGCACACACGTGCACACATACACACACACAAAATTACCTGGCTGTTGTGGCTTTTATTTGGTATTGCTATTTCCTAGGCTCAGTTCTGGCCTCCGTCCTTGAAGCCTGGTGTCCAGATGAAAACTAACATTGCCAGACTAGGAGATGTGGAGATTTGCTCACTGCCTGGTTTTGTAGTTTAGTTCCCTTTGTCCCTTTTATTTCTGCACCGTCGAGGTACTTGGGCAGGACAACAATTTTTGCAGATTCTCAACCTTTTCTATGTCTTTTACGTTAATGCAATGAGTAAAATATTCTTTTTCAGGGCTGTGAGCATTTGCAATGCATCTGGGGATTATTCACGTGGTAACGAGCCCACATCCCCGCTCCCGCTCGCCTCGCTGAGAAAAGAGAACCAGGAATAAAAGCCCAATCAATATCACGATTCCATTTTTAAAAGCGAATCTTAGCCAATTAACAGCAATAAAACCTGGCCCCTTTTTGAAGTGCTAACTAAAATATTCRAGGGGGGTATTTGGGAATGTTGGTTTCATTACAATTCGCATAGAGAGGCGAGTTAATGCCACTAAACAAAAGGCACTAAGCCACATATTCAGGCTTAGTGAATTCAGCAACTTTTTATATGGGCAATTTGTTTAAGCTTAGATTTGGAGTACGATTTGGAATATATGTGGTTGAAACCTGATATCCCTTGGACAGATTCCTTACATCCATCCATCCATCCATCCATCCATCCATCCATCCATCCATCCATCCATCCATCCATCCATCCATCCGTTTATCCGTTTAGGGAGGATAACCCAAAGCATTCTACATGTACAGCTGAACGGTTTTCTTTTTAAAGTGCTACTTGGAGGAACGCCATTGTCCACTGCTCATTTTAAATTCAACACATTCAATAACGCCATTTACACCTAAGCCATTATCCCGGGCTTTCATTTATGGCAGCTGAAATGTGTAGCAGAGCTCGTGGGTATGTTTTTATTTTGGTTATTGAAGACCTTTGCGGCTCTCCGTGGTTTCCCTCTCGTGAATTGTTGTGTACTTTATAGCCAGGGTGATGCTCGGCCCAAGAGCGACAGTGTAATGTTTCCCTAACCTTCTACAGAGCCGAAGTGAACCCAAGGATAAGATTATAGTTTCCCCTGTGATTTTTTATGGCTTTTTAAGTACTGGGGTGTTAAAATATTTTGCRGAACTGGAGAGGTAGATTAGCAGGGTTTCTTGCCAAAGCTGGGAAGCTGGTATTACAGACTGTCCCAGGGGGAAATCGCTCACATTAACCACTAAATGAATATTTGACAAGGGCTCATTCGGGGGTATTATTACTACAAACGGGTCCCTACTGGACTTTCCAAGGGTCAAAGAGCAATGGTTCAATTAATTATTTAGACTGTTAGTAGATTTGGTTGTAATAGCTGTACTTATTTCTGCAACCGACAGCTTCTTGCGGTGGGGGACCTGGGGAGAGGCTCTGCCTCGCAGCCCCGGCTCCAGCCCGCGGGCAGGAGAGCGGCTGCCGCTTGCCGACAGACATTTCTTGGCCGAAACCACATTTTGAWTCCTTGARATGCCCACTGGTGCTGGGTGAAACRMCAGGGGTGATGATGAACCCCAYAGCAGCGTGTTTTCTCTCRATATGAATTCCTCCTCGTCCCCAACGGGCAGCAGAGCTGTATATTTGCCTCCGAATAGCAGGTAGATAGCCCAGCAATTTAAGTAGTATATAATATAGGTCCCACTGAAAGAAAGAGGCCCATTACTGATAGGTATGATTAGATACACTTCAGTCATTTAAATCCTGATCTAACTCAAATACTAAAATGTAAAACCTGCTTCCGTGCTTGTAAGATTTCCGAGGATATATGCAAAATGCTGACATTCTGATGGCAGAGGAGCTTCGTCTTTGCGTTTTTAATGCCAGTCAGCTCTGCCTGACAATGTCGTTTCAACATTTTTCGTGGTGAGGGGGAGAGAGAGAAGGGAGGATTATTTTGTTTAATTTCTACAACAAACATGTCCGTAGTAGTAGATACCAAAAAAAAAAAAAAAAAAAAAAAAAAAAAAAAAAAAAAAAAAAAAAAAAAAAAGGCAAAACCCCCCCAAAATAACGTTGGGAGTGTGCGATTAGGTGACAATAATATATGTTGAATGAATAAGAGATAAGCTGCAAGGGGGGAGAGGGAAGCAGTAATTACAAACCCAATTCATTCAGCTTTTCAGGACTTTTGTTGTGGGAGCTCCATTGACGGGCTTCGAGCTGCCAGTTTTCTCACATTAAAAAGAACTGATCAGCGCCTCAGGGGGACAAGCAACACCGCTTAACTGCATAGTGATGGGGTCCTCATTTAGAGCCATTACAACAAGAAAATTAAACAGAGCCTTTGTGTGCACCAGGTTTACTTTTCAATTGCTGACAGTTTATAGCTAACTGCTCAGAGATTGAAGTTTGATTGCGGTTTGATCGCCCGCTAGTTAGCACCGCCGCTATTTTAGTTTTGGTAATTAAAACCAGTTTTTCTGACGATGGCACGGGGAATCGCAAGAGTTTGGTATATTTTTGCTTTTGAGGAATCAATTCTCTTGGCGAGGACGTACAGCGCTACAGTGAGTGTGGGGGCTGGTTCATTTGAGAACTGGAAAGAAAAGGAGCTCAGGG